ACTCTATGCTAGGCTGTACACATGCTTCGTGTTTCTACTTAGTCATGTTCCAAAATCCAGCCATCTCTTAAAATATTGCTGCCAAAATCTGTTGCAGACTCTAAGTCTCCCTTTTTATGAGCGTCCTATGAATATACGGCCTTAGTTATGAAAAAAAAATCCATATATCCCCGGGGCATGTACAGGTACAGCACTGGCTTCCTTTAGTGAATTCTTAAGGAATTGAATACTTAGACAGTTTCTGTTCTATTCCTAGTTTGAATGCTCTGAGCATCTTAGTTTATTGGGTGGTATAGAGGAGGTCTAGAAGCCTGTGCTAGAGGCCTCTGATATGTACCACACAGTTGGAAAGGCTGAATTCTAGCTAACCAGCCATCACCACATGGTCGTGATCTTGTCAGCCTCTGCTGCTCTTAAATATTATCTACTGAGTACTGGAAAGGTTGGAGTCTCTGTCAGAAGGAGTACCCAGAGCTGGCAGGATTACTGATTCTTCATTCATTCTTAAGGTATCTCTTTCCTTTCTCCCAATATTGCTAAAATATTACTGGAGAACAGGAATGAGGTCAGATAGAAAGGCATTGCCCCTTACAAAAAGGAGAAACCTCCTTACTAGTTTTATATTTATTATTATTGCTACTACTACTACTAATAACTAGCATTTATATAGCTCTTCAAGGTTTGCAAAGTTCTTTACAAATATTATCTCACATGATCCTCCTAATAAGGAAAGCAGGTGCTTTTGTTCTTATTTTATAGAAGAGGAAGCTAAGTAGATAAAGCTTGAGTGACTTGCCCAGGGTCACACAACTGTTAAGTGTCTGAAGCTAGATTTCAGCTCAGGACCAGTACTCTGTCCACTGTATGTCCTAGCTGTCCATATCATGCTTGTGATCACCCTACAGTGTCATGTTTTGCATGAGAGTCAAGTTGACCATTTTAATGCAGGAAATGTACTGTTGAGGGAAGGGACAGGCAGGGGCCAGGGGAGAAGATGGATCGATCTTGAAATAGAATATTCCTCAAAGAAGTTAGGTAAATGAATGTGTTAAGTGAAATTTATAGTATTCTGTACCCCAGGATACCAGATGGGTAACAAGTGTGCCCTTGTTCAGTGGCTACGGGAAAGTTTTCCCATCCAGGTCTCCAGTATTATGCTTTAACTTGTAGCTTGTCAACCTTGGACTCATCCCCAAAAGGAGTCATTTTAGTCATCTGAGGCAGATTTCCAGAAACGAATAGAAGCTGTACTATAGAAAAAGGCTTCTGTGGAACGGATGCCAACTTCTTCTTAGCTACTTGGAGCCCCCAGAGAGAGAATGTTGTCCAGATTTTCTTAACTCTTTTTTGGGTATTTTTGCTTCCAGTTTCTGCAAATCTTGATGCTTGTGGATTTAATTGATTTGAGGGAGAAGGTAGAATTTGTTTGACATTTGTCAAAAATAGGAGACAAGGTAATTAAAAGTGGGATTTTGCTCTGATTTTTTTTTTTTTTTAGAACATTGAGTCAAGGAAACTCTTGTTTTCTGGGAGTGGGAGGGACTGGGTGTTAGAGTAGAGGGAGAATATTATAATAAGCTTCTGAAATAACAGAATGGGAACTCCCTGACTCTGGGTTAGTAAGGTTTAGAATAACTTTTTTTTTTTATTCAGAGCTTACAGGAAGCTGGTGCATTGATTAGGCTTATGTATTTAGTATTTTTGAAATCACTCACAAGTATTGACTAAGTTCAGGGTCCATTTTATGTAAACCCATTTGTTAATTCATAGTTTCATTCTTTCATGAAGTAGATAATCTGAATTAGAAAAAATGTCTTGGGTGAGGCTAAGCAAACAACAGAAAGAGATAAAATTATACTCTGTGTGTGCGTGAGAGAGAGAGAGAGAGAGAGTGTAGAGGGGGTTATCACATAACTGCTACCCTGTAGTTTAAAAAAAAATGGGGCAGCTAGGTAGTGTAGTGGATAGAATGCCAGGCCTGGAGTCAGAGAAGATTCATCTTCGTGAGTTCAAATCTGGCCTCAGACACTTAATAGCTCTGTGACAAGTCACTTAAACTTATTTGCCTCAGCTTCCTCATCTGTAAAATGAGCTGGAGAAGGACGTGCCAAGCCACTCCAGTATCTTTGCCATGAAAACCCCAAATGGGATCACAGAGAGTCAGACACAACTGAACAACAGCAACAGAATTTTAAAAATAATCAACCCCAATATTGTAAGGGATAGACATTTACAAACCTCCAGAGGAGGAGAGAGAGTTGAAAGTATCTAGTATGTAAGCCCATGTAGTTAGTGTGGATGGTGAGAAGAAAATGAATAAGTAGGAAACCATATATGGTCTTTTAACTTGGACACTGCAGAAATTTACAAATGGATGTCCTCCACATGTTCATTAATATGGTTCTCAGGACGGTGTGATTGTTTCATGTATGTCTGTTAATAAATAATTCCGTTTTCATGTATAATTGATATCACAATTCCCTTCACAGTGGGTAGAGAAGGATTGGGAGGGAGAGAATTCAGAACTCAAAATTTAAAGAAAAATGAATGTTAAAAAAAAAAAGTTTGTTTTTTTTTAAATAGGATGACAAAAAAAAAATGCAGCCGGAACGGTCCTAAATTCAAACCGTGTGTGTTTTAATGGTGCATTTTCCTGGATAGACTCTTTCCATTGTAGAGCCAGCAGGCCCCTTAGGGATTCCAAACACCTCACTTTGCAGATGAGGAGGTGAAGCTGGGAGAGTAGAAGAAAACTTACCCAACATTCCACATACACAGCAGATGATTAGCAGAGTGAATCTCAATCACCATCTCTCAGTTTGTGGCGTGATCCTTTAGTTCATAAACTTGGGAGCTGGTACTGCAAAATCATTTTCCTTAAGAAGTAAGACTTTTCATTATAAATTTACAATAATTTCAAAATGCCTATTGACCTAATGGAATAGAGCGCATGCTTTAAAAGTGCTCTGTTTGATAAAGGAACTACCTTTGAGGTATGTCACAGAATCATGGGTTGTAGAGGACCCCTGAGGTGATGTTGTCGTGGTCTTATTCACCTCAGTCTTGTCTACAACATTTATAGTGGGTGGTCATCAAGAAGACTCATTTTCCTGAGTTCAAAATGGGCCTCAGATACTTACTAGCTGTGTGACCCCGGGCAAGTCACTTAACCCTGTCTGCCTCAGTTTCCTCATCTGTAAAGTGAGCTGGGGAAGGAAATAGCAAACCATTCCAGTATCTGCCAAGAAAACCACATAGACAGTACTGACATGCTGTGATCCACGAGGTCATGAATCAAACACGACTGAACAATAACACTTCTGAGCTAAGCATTTTTACAAAAATTATCTTATTTGATTCTCATAATCCTAGAAAGGTAGGTGCTACCTTCCTTTTACTAAGTTGGGGAAACTGAGGCAAATGAAGGTTAAGTGATTTGTCCACAGTGTCTGAGGCCAGATTTGAACTTCCTGATTCCAGGCCTAACACTCTATCCACTGCCTTTAGAGAGATGTCTAGACATCTAGGGGTAGGGAATCTGTGGCCTGGAGACCACATGTGGCCTTCTAGGTCCTTGGGTATGGCCTTTGACTGAGTCCAGATTTTACAGAACAGATTCTTTTATTAAGGGGATTTATTCTGTGAAGTTTGGATTCAGTCAAAGGGCCCCACTTGAGGACCTCGACGGTCACGTGTGGCCTTGAGACCCATCCCTGGTCTAGAGCCTTAAGAAGGTCTCACACATAGCCAACAAGAGTCAGAGTTGGAATTTAAACCCAGGTTTTCCTACCTTCAAGGTCCCTCTATCCACTGTGCCATCCTTTTTCTCAGAATGACAGAATTAAGATCCCAAAAGATCTTGACATGTTAGCTGCAAACCTACCAAGATGAAATTATTTAACAAGGATAAAATTTGTATACTTGTTCAAAAAACCGTATGGACAAGTATGGGGGGAGGAGGTGGGGATTTTCATAGTTAGGAAGTATGGAAGGAGATTGAACATAATCTTTGAAATCTGAATTTTTCTTCTTTTTCATTTTTGATTCCTATGAAATAAAAAAAATATATAACAGTCTAAATTCTGTGTCATAGATTAATCACTGCTTCTCTCACCAACCTTGCAACAGTGGATTTCTTTTTCTGTTTTATGTAAATTCCATGTAAAACTATAATGTTCTTTAAGAAAATGCTTTTGCTACTGAAATGGAGAAAAAGGCCCTTCTCTCCGGGCCTTAGTTTCCTCATCTGTAAGATGAGAGTGGTGGACAAGGTAACCTCTAAGGGCCTGTCCAACTCTAGCTTTTTATGAGCTTGGTCTACTTTGAACATCTGATTTCGGTTTAAAATGCAAATACCTGGTTTGGGACTTCTATCATCGTTAGATGGAGACTACTTTTTCTTTCACAACCTAAAAGAAACCACAAAATGTGTGGGGGTCCCCCAGAAAAAATGAGTAGCTTTTGAGATTGTCAGCATGTATTCAAAGCCTGGACTGACTGACCACAGATCATGTTTCCCAAATGTCTGTAAGTGGAATATGCCTTTAAGTCAGGATTAATCATTCCCCTCCTCCACACCGTGATATGAAGTTCCTGGCACTGGATGGTCATTATTTTCACAAACTAGTAACCCAGAAGCCAAAAATCTGCCTGTCACCCCTTGGTGAATATAAAACTTAAGCTTGCCTCTCTCCCAACCATCAGCATCACCACCCTGGAAATGTGCCACCATCTGTTTCCTGCCTTTCCAGACAATCACTTCTTCCCTTTCCTATCCTTAACTGTCAGATTCCTGGACCGAGTCATTGACAAGCAGAGTCACAACCAGAAACACACAAGGGTTTCTTAGACCAGTGTAGCGAGTGAGCCAGTCAGACTGATTATTCCCTTGGGAATGGGGCTAACTCTAGGAAAGCTGTATCATATGATGACAATCTGGTATTTCTGCCCATTTGGGAGAGACATCCCTCTATAATTGGCTTCTACATTTATATTTCCAGGTGGTTAAGACCATTGGCCTTCGGGAAGTATGGTACTTTGGCCTTCAATATGTGGATAATAAAGGATTTTCAACCTGGTTGAAGCTTGATAAAAAGGTAAATGAGGGTTAACTATTTACAGATTGTTAACCTGGGTGTGTTGGCTTGCTGATTTGACATTGACTGTTGATGAAGGCAACCTGAGCACGTTTTTTTTCTCCTTCTAGCCCTTCTCCTTTTCATTTGTCTAAAGCACTTTAAAAAAATTAGTCTTGCAGATTCCCAGTGAACCTGAAGTCCTGGGACCTAGGTACCTTAGGTATCTTAACTCCCTGCTTTCACTGAGTGGGTATGGTGTTTGATTATAAAATCATTATTTGACCTTGGGTTTGTTGGTTTGTTTTAATTAGAATGTACCAGAGAAACTAATTTGCTTCTGGGAAGATTAAAAAAGCAACAATTGGGTTTTTTTAAAGTGTTTTATAAAAGCATAATAACTTCGTGCCTCCTTTCTCAAGTTGGCTTAATTATGCTCAGGTGCTTAAGAAAAGTTGTTCTTATTTTTTAGCAGATCTGGGATAAAGTAAATTAAACATTAATATGAATTTTTTTTTCCCTAAACCACATCTTAAGGAGCAAATCCATTTTCCTCTAATAGCATATTTTCTCAAAGTTTAGCATAATATACCATAATGGAATTTGGCATGCAGCATGGCGGAAAAAGAGTCATTAGGTTTAAATATCAAGTTCTAGAGCCCTCTAGAGTTTAAATATCAAGCCCTAGACAAGCTGTCTGCCTCTGCCTAGCATACTGGGTGGTTCCCATGGTGTTTTGGATCTTGAGGCCCCTCTCTTGGCCTCAGTTTCCTCATCTGTAAAATAAGAGCATTTGAACTAGGCTACATAAGCCCTTTAAAGCTCTGTATCTATGACCCTATGATCACAGTTTGGAAGTAAGGATTGGCTAATAAGCCAGAAGGAGACACTGGTCAGTAATTGGCTTCTGCTGGGTCCCTGATGAATGTCTAACAAAGCACAAAGGTAGGTTGAACTTTTCCCTGAATTTTTTTTTCTTAATATTCTCAAAAGATCTTTTAAAGAATCTTGTCCTGAAAAAAATCTCATCTTAGGAGACCCATTTGTATGTGTTTGTACATGCTATTGTTGGACAGATTATGTGTTCTCAAATCTAGAACGTTGCTGTTTGAATTTTAAGTGGGTTTGGTTTCTCTCATCTAGGTCTCTGCTCAGGAACTCAGAAAGGAGAGCCCTCTCCAGTTCAAATTCCGGGCCAAATTCTATCCAGAGGATGTGCCTGAGGAGCTGATCCAGGACATTACCCAGAAACTGTTCTTCCTGCAAGTGAAAGATGGAATCCTCAGTGATGAAATCTACTGCCCTCCTGAGACCGCAGTGCTCCTTGGATCCTACGCCGTTCAAGCCAAGTTTGGTGATTATAATAAAGAGGTGCACAAGTCAGGATACCTCAGCTCTGAACGTTTGATCCCACAGAGGTAATCCCACACCGCACTGTCTGTGCTTCATCATCCATTCATTCGCTCGTATCATCCTTTGGTAGTATCGGGAGTGGCAGGACCAGGGTTGGGACTCCAGTGACTTCTGGGTTTTGTATGCTTTTAAAATGAGTCACTCTGGGCTTTTGACTATCCCAGCCCACAAAGTGTACTTGGTGAAGAAGTTGATGACTGCTTTTAGCGTAGTTTCAGGTAGTGGGAGGAAAATATAACCAGAAAGGAAAAATATCCTGTCCTCGTGGAACTATGAAGGTGGGAAGTGGGTGTGGCCTTCTGTTCTACTCACCGCTGCGTGTGTGTTGAATCCCCTAAGCGAGATGTAAATTCCTTAAAAATGGGGTGTCCTTAGTGCCAGGCACAGTCCCTTACTCCTAGTTAATGCTTTGTAAATGTTGGATTGAGTTAAACTTAGTCACACTTCTTCTTCAAATCCCTACTTAGTCCCAAATTAATTTGCTTTGCTTAATCTAGGAGTTTTCTTCCACTTTCCCATTACTGTCTGTATGTTTTATATCCTCTTTCCTCTCTTGAGAAAAAAAAAAAGACATCGAAGAACACTGAAGTTTTCCAGCCAAGATTAGAGCAGGTTTGGGCTGACAACCATGAATAGAGATCTAAACTTCTGCATTTCTCTGTTCTGACTCCAGTATAGCATGTTCCAAGGTAGCAACAAAAGCTTCTTAGACTTTTATCTGAAGGAAAGTAAGGATTTTTCTGTAGATGGGATGGGGGAGGCAGATTTCAAAGCTTTCGGCATCCTTTAATTAAAAAAGAGACAAAGAAAGAAAAAGGAAAGAAGGAAGGAAGGAAGAAGTGTTAGTTTCCCTTTTTTTGTATTTCAGAGTAATGGACCAGCACAAGCTCTCCAGAGAACAGTGGGAGGATCGAATCCAGGTGTGGCATGCTGAACACCGTGGGATGCTGAAGTAAGTGCTCAGTGCTTAGTACAAACTGGTATTTAGGTCATCCCCAGCTCTTCCAGTTAATCTTCTTTACCATGTGACTTCAGTTAGGAATCTCTAAATAATTAGCTCTAGGAGGCTCTTGAACTGTTTTCAAGTCCTAATGCCTAATAAGGTATTAAAAAGTTTTAATATAACTGGTAGAGCATTTGTTTTTGTTGTGGTTTTTTATTTATTTCTCATAATTAAATTATAGTTATAGCCTGGGGACCAGCCTTTACATATAAGCTTAGGAAAGTTCCTTCCCAGGCTGCCTTTCCTTCTTTGGTTCTTTTTTTAGGGGAGGGAAAAAAAAAACCAAAACTAAGCATCTCAAATAATACAGAAGCTACCCCCCCCCCAAAAAAAAACCCCAAACCCATTGTTGTCCTGTTTTTCTCGGCTGCTTAAGTGGTATTAGTTTGTTCATGCGTGGTATGCAAGGTAGTTGACTCCTCATGGGTTTTTATTGGACAAGGCAGAACCCCTAAAAGGCACATTGATCTTAGAGAAACAAAAATGTTGCATGGAGGTGAGAAGTCCAGGTCCTGGTGTTTGTTTAAATAAGTCTTATTGGGGCTCTTTGTTTCTACACCACAGTCATTTCTGGAAATCTCATCCCCACTGTAACAAAGGAAAACTGTTACAAAAACACCCCCCTACAGTGACCTTGACATTCTAGCCAATGTTGTTCTTTTAAATGGTGCACTGCTTTGTTTCCTGATGTGATTTATCATCCAAGTGCTCCTTATTTTCATACATTGGCAGCATTTTGAGATTGGATGCCAGGCTCAGAGTCTGGAAGGGTCTTGTTTGTGAGGTTCTTGGCAGCCATAGCTTATTGCTTATGGCACCCCCATGGTTGAACCCATCTGACTCAAGTAGATCCCCTGGGCGGGGTGGACAGGGAAAAGTAGGCAGGAGAGTGGTCTGCAATAATAAGTGAGGAAAGCAATAGGGACCCTGGAATTACCATGCTGTCCAGAGAAGAAATAATCTGCTAGGTCAGCAAAGATAATGCCATATCACTTAATAAAGACCATTTTTGTCGGGTCTACAAAGACATCGAGGTTCTGTCTTGATTTGTCAAGAGAGCAATCCCTTATGACGTTAGGGATGGACACCGTCATCCATACTGCGCATTCAAGATTAATATCAGTACTCTGTTCTTTTCCACCATTGATTTCACCTGCCCACTTAGGTCCTTGCTATCCTGACAACCTCTCTTGTTCTTTCTGAGTGCTACAGAGAGGGGATGGGGGAATAATGACCAGCAAACAAAAAACTGCCAAAATCATACTTATCTTCTTGGGATTACAATTGAAATTAATTTTATACTAATCTAGTGTTTTTTTCTGTGTGTGTGCGTGTGTATTTTAATCTCCCCAAATAGAGATAATGCTATGCTGGAGTATTTGAAGATTGCTCAGGACTTGGAGATGTATGGGATCAATTATTTTGAGATAAAAAACAAAAAAGGAACAGACCTTTGGCTCGGAGTGGATGCCCTTGGGCTGAATATTTACGAGAAAGATGATAAGTGAGTTGAAACTTTTCTCTTTTTTTGAGCTTATGGAGTGGAAGGAATGGGGAACAGATGGGGAGTTAGCGGTCCTGAATGGGGCTGAGTGAAGGCCTTGGTTCAGCTTTGTGTTGGCCCAGGAAAAGGACAGTTCTTGAAGGTCTGTTTCTACTCTGTCGATACGAGTGCATCAGAAACTTGGCACAAAGACCCTTTTTTGTCACTACCTTCTTTCCTAATCTCATTCGATATTAAATGTTTACAGTACATGCAATGTCTCTAAATGTTCAGAATGTCGACTCTATGTGGGGGGGAGTATAGTATATCCATTACAATTTAGATAAAATTCTATAGACCCATTTGTGTGGGGGAAGAACTGGGAGGGAATAAGAAAGAGTAACCTTAGGGAACCTGCAAAATGGGGCAGAAAGAGGGGGATTAGGGCAGGTGGATCGTCAGTGAAATCTTTCCCTGCCCCTTTCTTTCTCCTAATCACTAAAACTTACAGGTCCAACTGCCACCCACACAGTTCCTGGCAAAGCTTACAGGCCAATGCCTGAAGGCTCTCTATGAGATCAGCTCTTATATCAAATTTCTGCTAATGCAATTAATCAACATTTATTAAACATCTACTATGTGCCACACACTGTGCTAAATTCTAGGGATACAAAAAGAAGCAAAAGATAATCCTTACCCTCAAGGAACTTGCAATCTAATATTTATGAGAGTTATCAGAGACCTTTTTAAGGCCACATAGATTAGTGCATTAACATAGAATACTCATTTAACCTAAACCCTCTAAACTTTTGGGAGTTGCTTATTTGCCCTACATTCATTATTTAGCTTATGAGAGCCAGGACTGTTTTGTTTTTGTCTTTGTATCTCCAGTGATAGAGAGGCAGCTTGGCATAGTAGATAGAGGGCTGACCTCAGAATTAGAAAGTCTTGGGTTCAGGTCCTGCCTCTAACATACTGGTTGCCTGACAATGATTGTCACTTAAGTTTTCACTACTCTACAGGTGCTCATTTATATTAGAAGAGGGAGCTTTCTTCCTGAAAATTCCCTACTTTGATGAAATAATAATTTTTTTCATTCATTCATTGACTCAACAAAATCCAGGTCTGGACCAGAAACAAAGAAAGCCCCAAACCCAAGTGTTTAGCACTGTGTTGCTTTGCTTGTCATAAGCATTTAATATATGCTTGTTCCCTGCCTTTCATCCTAAAAACAGTGAATGGAGATTGTAAAGAGTCTTGGTCTTGATTGAAACGATAAGAAAAAACTTTAGCAACACTATCCAAAGTGAAATGTCTTTCCTTATCAGGTGGCAGGTTCTCCCTCACTGGGACTTTCCTTTCAAAAGCTTTCTGAGCATTTGTGAGGTGGGCTATAAATGGGATTCTTCAACTATAGGTTGGGTTCAGTGGTCTCTGAAGTCTCATCCAGGTCTGAGATTCTTTGCTTCTGTGAGAGATACTGCAGTGATTTGGGGTACAGGAGGGTGGGGGAACAAGATGTAGATGTTAACTCCTTGTTGTCCTTGGGGTCCTCCAATAGCTCAGAGCTATGTTACCCTTATAGTTGAGAGTTCTGTTTGGGAGCACAGATGGATGTTGAGTCCCTAGTTAACCTCTGCTTTCTCAGTTTCTTCATCTGTAAAATGGGGATAATAATAATAACACCTACCTCCTAGGGTTATTGTGAGGATCCAGTGAGATAATAATTGTAAAGCACTTACCTGGTACATAGTAGCTGCTATGTAGTTATTATTGTTATTATTATGTTAGTTGTTAGTATCTTTGTTATTCCTGCAGAGAAGTCATTCAGTCAGTAAGCATTTATTTAAATAAATGCTGTGTGTCAAATTTGTGCCAAGTGCTAGGAATACAGAGAATGCAAAAAAAAAAATCTCCCCCAAAACTAGTCCTTGCTCTCAAGGAGCTCATAGTCCAGTGGGGGAGACAACATGAAAGCATGGATAATACAAACAAGATACAGACGGACTAAATTGGAGATGGTTTCAGAGGGAAGGTACTAAGATTAAGAGGGTCTTTGAAAGGCTTTTTGCAGAAGGTGGAACCTCAGCTGAGACTTGAAGAACGTCTGGATGCAGCAGTGCGGAGGGAGAGAATTCAAGGCTTAAGGGACTTGACTTATATGTGGTCCTCTAGTCTTCTGAATCACAACCCTTGATTCTCAATTGTGGAAGTGGTCAGTTGAATCCAGGCACTGACAGTTCAACCCTGTTAACTTTTCAGGGCCTCAGTTACCTTATCTGTCTAATGGGAATAATATTACTTGTACTGACTTCTCAGGGTTGCTGAAGAAAACTCTTTGACATACATAAGACTTTAAAAATGTGAGTCCAAAGCCATTTTAGAAATCACTTGCTCCTCTAGCTGTGTGCCCTTTTGTAAAACGAGGGTGTTGGCTAAGATGGATCCTTCTAGCCTTAGTTAAAAGGCGTGGTTCTGGCCCTTGTCCTGCTCCTCCCAATTACTGCTGCAAATGAATTAATAGGATCCTGGATTTAGAACTGAAAGAGACCCCTAGAGGTCCTTATTTTACAAATTGCCCAGAGTGACCAGAGCTGGCATTTGAATCCGGTCCCCTGACTCCAAATCCTTCATTTTTTTTTCCCCACTGTGCCATATATTCTCCCTCTGGATCACACTCATTTATTTGTTACCCTCCACACTAAAACAATTACAAGTGAGCGTAGTTGTCTCTGGTCTCAGTGTCATGGAGGACCAGAGGGGGACGCTTTTTTATTTCATGTAGATGGTTTGGTTTACTCGAGTGTGTGGGAGGACAAAAGATATTAATGTTCTCTTTCCCAGTGAGAGAGACCCAACTTAGGGAATGACGGCTTTGAGGCCCGGCCGTCAGGAAGATATCTCGGTCCTAAGGAGAACAGTACACAAAATCAAAGGGGAAACTCAGAGTACCCACCATGGGGTCGGAAGAGTGAGACTGCCTCTTGTCTTAAAGTTTAGTTTCCTGAATGATAAGGTTTAGTAATAGAGCCACGGTTATCCAAACAGGTTTTTCAAGCCGCATATAGTAACCATAGGCAGGAACTTGCTGATGTCAGCTCATAACTGCCCCCAAACCACAGGCGTTTCTGTCTTTTCCTGAATAAGAGTTTGAGCCCCATTCAGACCTCCTTTTCTGCTCTCAGCCCTCTCTAGTCTCCCCACTTGTCGGTTTAACCAACACTTCCGTTATTTGGTTTGTAATTTCCCCAAGCTGAAAAGCTTTAACATAGGGGTAAGCATGCACCTTCTCTTCTCTGTCTCTGTCTCTCTCTCCTCTCTCCTGAGACACACCTTGTTTTTATTTCTAAGTCCGCCCTTCCCTGGAATCAGTCTGGTGACCAAAGTCTTTTTCCTTTTGAACTGAGTTTAGAAGTCAGTGAGTAAGTATTTATGAAAAACCTACTATGTGTGCCCAGAACTATTCTGAGCCCTTGGAAACTTGGTCATAGGTATAATCAAAGGGGTTGAAAGTCAGGCTTGAGGAACACTGAGAGCTCACTAAAGCTGTGTTATGTTATGTTATGTTATATGTTATATTAAATGGTAAATTTCTCATACATACATACACACACCCAAATATCTGTCTTTTTCTATTTCTCTACCTATACACATACATCATTCCTAATAGAGAGGAACATAATACATAATAGATAAGGAAAGGCTTAGGCTCCAGCTTGCCTCTGATACCTACTGGCTGTGTGACCCTGGTCAAGTCACTTAGTTTTCAGTGCCCTAGACAATTCTTAACACTTGAAGTTGCAGTTGCTAACATGCATGGGTAGGAGGGGTTTCCTCAGTGGTAATACCAGTGAATTCTAGATCTAGACCGGAAAAACCCTGATCATTGCTTATAATAATGTTAAGTTAAGTGTTTGGAATTCATTGCTCCAACAACAAAGAAATTCAGATAAAGCAAAGATGAGCTGAGTCTGTTGATAGCTATATTAATAATAATAACATATAACAGATGGTAATATCTAGTGTTTATATAGCACTTTAAGCAAAGAGCACTTTACAAATATTATCTCTTTTTATCTTCGTAACAACCCTGAGAGGTAGATGGCTGTTGTTATTCTCATTTTACAGATGAAGAGTTGGAGGTTAAATGACTTGCCCAGGGTGCTACCAGTCATCAGAGAGCCATTGATGGCAAGATGCCCAGGCCCACGACCAAGGAACAGGAAAGATGATGGCACAGGCTGATGATCTAATTTTTCCAAGAATAGCAACAGAAATCCTCTATGTTTGAGGGGAGGGAGAATGTAATGATAGGAATACGTAGAAACCAGCCGTTTCCTGGTTGCTTAATGTTTAGAAAGAGTTGTAAACTTAGTCTCTCTGGTCCCACAGCATTAATTATGCCATCGCAAATTGAGCCACACTGGTGTGGTTCATTGTTTCTATCTCATTACCAGCTCTGATGCGGGCTTCCCACAGAAACCCCACAGGCAATGACTATACATACATAGGGTGAAGCTGGCGACTAAATCAGATGATTTCGTTAAGCCCCCTTCTACCTGTTAATGCTGGCTCATACTATTGACATACGCAGATTGTTGACGCCCTATGTATGTATGAATACATATAGTAAAATTACTTTCCTTCCTTAGATCCTAATATATTATGCCCAGATTTAAACAAATTACTTCAAGCAAAGTACTTAAATCTATCCATCCTACTTCAGAGGCATGCTACCTGTGTGACTTTGGGCAAATCAGTTTAACCTCCCCGTGCCTCAGTTTCCACATCTGTAAAATGAGGGAGTTAGAAAAGATGATCTCTAAGGTCTTTTTCTGCTGTAGATCTTATGACCCTATGATCTTTTCCCTTACTGTGAGTAATATGTTAGCCAGGTAGCTAAATGGAGATTGTTTCTGCCTTTGTCTCTTAATGATGTCACAGGGTATATGCTAAATTCAGCCTAGAACCTGGGCTGTATAACCTATAAAGATTATGACTACAGTATTGGTTGAATACTTATTTAAGTGACCAGGAATGAATACAGAATTTGGAGTCATAGTTGCTACTTTTAAAACATTGTGACCTTGGACCAGTCACTTAACTTCTAGGCTTCAGTTTGATCACCTGTAAAATGAGGACTAGTTTCAAGCCTTAAGTATATGATCCAGTCATGATGATCCATTTTGTTGGGTGCTGTGAGAGATAAAAGGAAAGTATTAGTTAGGATCCCTCCCCTCAAGGAGATTCAAAGTCCCAGGAAGATATGATGTAAAGTTAGGATACAATACCAGGATTTAATAGCTATGCGAAACATTAACTTGAAAGTCATTTATTTAGCAAGTATTCAAGCACATAATTTTTGTATGACAGATTTATATATATGACACAATAGGTTTTAGAATTTAAATTTATTGGATATTTGATGAAATATTTGTTAAATGTCTAGAATATGCAAGGTGCCAGCAATACAAAGACAAAAATTAAAGTTGGCCTTTATCTTCAGTCATAGTTGGGAATAAAACATTTAAGTAGAAGAGTAAGTTTATGATACTTTGAGAAGGGAAAGAGTACTAGTAACTAGTGAGTCAAAAAGAAAAATCCTGTATACAGCAGGGGGACTTAAGATAAGCCTTGAAGAAATCTAAAAATTCTAAGAGATGGAAGGGAGAAGGAAGTGTATTTTAGGCATGGGTGCAAAGGAATGGAGATGGAAGATGAAATTTAGACATGTTTAAAAGGATTGTGGAGTATGTGAAGGAGAATAATGTGAAATGAGTCCACAAATAATAATAATAATAGCAGTGTAGTAGTAGTAGTAGTTGTAGTAGTAATAGTAGTAGCAGCAGCAGCAGCTAACATTTATGTAAATGCTTTAAGGTTTATAAAGCGCTTTATAAATATTATCTCATTTTATCTCCAAAACAATTCTTGGAGGTAGGTGCTATGAATACGCTTAGTTTACAAATAAAGAAACTGAGGCTGAGAGAGATTAAGTAACTTGCCCAGGGTTACCAGGTAGTAAGTATCTGAGGCCATTGTAGGTTGGAGCCCAACTCTAAAGAGCTGTAAATGCTGAGTTGGCATTTTATCCTAGGGGCAATAGAGAGCCATTGAAGAATAGCTTTGGAGTAGGAAAATGAGTTTAGTCAAATCAGAACTTTGGAAAGATTATTTTGGCAGTTATGTAGAGGATGGATTGGAAAGGAGGAATGATCCATTAGGAAACTGTTGTACAGATGGGAGATAATGAGATTTTTTTTCTTGTTACATCTTAATTTCTGAACTGCCTCCCTCTCGCCCTCCCCACCTCTTTCTAGAGAAGGCCAACATTTCACACATACACACATGTATGCCCACACACACACACAAACACACATAAAACCATATTATATGTACTTGTATTAGTTCTTTCTCTGGAGGTGACTAGCATTTTCCTTCATATGTCCTTTGTAGTTGATTTGAGTATTTATAATACTCAGAATAACTTAGTCATTCACAATTATTCTTCAAACAATACTGCTGTTGCCATATACAATGTTCTCTTGGTTCTGGTTATTCACTCTTCAGTATTTCATGCAAATCTTTCTGTATTTTTCTAAAATCAACCAATCCGTCATTTCTTATACTAGTATTCCATCACAATCATATACCACAACTTGTTTAGCCATTCCCCAATTGATGGGCATCCCCTCAAGTTCCACTCTTGCCACCACAAAGAGAGCTGCTATATATATTTTAGAATATAAAGGTTCTTCTTTTTCCCTGATCACCTTGGGAAATAGACCTATTAATGTTATTGCCGGGTCAAAGGTATATACAGTTTTATAGCTCTTCAGGCATAATTTGAGACTGCTCTTCAAAATAATTGAATCAGTTCACAATTCCACCAACAGTGTATTTAGCATCTCAGAAGTCTTAAACTTACATGGTAGCTATGTGAGTATAGAGAATGGAATAGGTATGAGAGATATTAGCATCAGCAAACATTTGCAGCTGATTGGATATGAGAGTTAAGGGGACAGTGAATACCCAAAGATGATTCCAAGGTTACATATCACCAAGATGGTTGGTGTCCTCAACAGAAATATGAAAGCTTGGAAGGGAGGGTTATAAGGGAAGATGATAAGTTCCATTTTTGTACGTGTTTAGTTTGAGATGCTTATTGGACATCTGGATGGAGATGTCCAGGAGATATTTGTTGATGTAGGATTGATGTGATATTCAGGAGAGAGGATTTGGGAGTCATCTGTAGAGAAGTGACTGAGCTGTACTAAGTAGGCCCATAGTTGTACATTGACCTTTTTTCTCTTTTTATTTCTTTAGATTGACTCCAAAGATTGGCTTCCCTTGGAGTGAAATCAGAAACATCTCTTTCAATGACAAAAAGTTTGTCATTAAACCCATCGATAAGAAGGCACCTGTAAGTTAACTTGGGTTTGAGGCGGTTTTTTATTTTTATTCCTCAGAGCAAAATGAGGTTTTAAGACAGTGTTCAGATTGCTCTGACATTTGAGAAGGAGCTGGTGACTTAGTCTATTCATTTGTATGGGGAGAACAATGACTAGCACAGTTATATAGAAAGGGCCTCTTGTGCCACATGACTGCTCATTATGGTAAGAGGATGAAGTGGAAAACATACACTAATGGAGAGCTCGCCATCCCCATTAACCTAGTTTTTGATTCAGAATGGCCTTTTTCTTCTTAATGAATCATTGCCTCTCTGGGCACAGTTTTTCTAAATGATCAGTATCCTCTCATGGGACTGGGGGCCCCAGGGTTGATAATTCATAATTGTTTATCTTCCTATGGTGGTTGGGAACCCCTCTTGTCCACTGGGCATCTATGTTGCAGCACCATTTTCTTGATCTCAGGTGGATTTCTGATTATGAGATCTCTAGCAACAGACCTTTGAGCATTTTGCCTTTGGGAACTGTCTTGGAAACTTGACAAAGTTAAGAAGAACTAGATTCATAGTTTGGGTTTCACTTAAGGAAAACCTGGTTGTAAACGAGGGAAACCTGCCAATTTCTCTGTATGATGGGACCCAGGAGATTGGCTTGTGATTTGACCAGAGCAGGGATTTTTAACTTGGGCCCCTTTGTCAATCTAGTCAGACATTATTCTCAGAACAATGTTTTTTCAATGTATAAAATGAAATACAAAAGAAACCAATGATACTGAAATAAATGTGGTTTTTTTCCCCCATTCAAATAAACAGAAACTATCTGTGGGTCCCTTGAGAATCCATGAACTCCAAATTATATGATCTCCTGTGGTCTCTTTCAACTACATTATCTCTGATTGTGACTGACATATATTGAGAGTCATGGTTTATTTTGAGTTTGTTGGGTTTTTTTTTTTCCATTCTTTTCCAAGACAGGGACAGATTTTTTTGCCTACACTTCTCTGAACTTTTAAATCCAACACACAATACACATTTTATTTATTATTTAATTATTGATCATTCTATTTCATTATTAATAATACTCTTAAATTTGTTATTTAATATATATTAGTAATTATTTAACACACAACTATCTGGCAGCTGAAAACTGCCTATAATCCTTCCATAAACAAAGCCAGTTCTTTTAATGCCTGGTTCTGTATTTTACCAAAATTATAACGAAGGGAAAAGACTTGGTGTCCTTGGGTCGTTGGTTCCTTAGTTACAGCATTAAGCTTAGGAAGGCAAACATGGGCTGTAGTCCATGCCTTGGGTATTTATGTATCCTCTTGAGATTAGGTATTGCTTAGGGATGGTAACCCGCTCAAGAAAGAACACAGTGCTATTGTCCAATTACTTTTCCCTTACTGTCAACACAGCATAATTTAAAATCGGCATGTCTTGTGACATAGTTTGTGAAGGTATTTTCTTCTTTATTGAAAATCCTTCCTGCTGTTTGTGAACTCCTGCCTCTTCCACTGTTAGTAACAACACAGTTATTTCAAATTAAAGCAGTATTTGATGCCAGGACTTCAGCTCCACAGGAGCAGTTCACATTAATTTACAGCTTCCTTCTGAATGAGGTTCGTTGTAGGTATTATTGATGATAGAAACTGAGGCAAAGCAAAGCTGGGAAAGTCATTAGGGTACTAGGGCTGTCCATTTCGTGGAGTGAGCCCTGGATCTGTAGTCAGCAAAGTAGAGTTTGACAGTGTGTGTGCAGTGCTTGCTGTGTGACCATGGGCAAGTTACTTAAGCCTTTCCAGGTCTCATTTTATTTATCTGTAAATTAGGGGGAGAGGAGGCTAAACAGCCAAAGTTCCTTGCAGCATTAAATCGGTGGTTCTTTTTAGAAGGGCTTTTGGTATATTCTCATACAACTCCATAGATTCAGAAGTTTAGAGCTGGAAGCAACTTTAGAGGTCATATAGACCAACTGCCTCAGTTTACAAATAAAGATCGACTTGATGGTTCTTCGTCTAACAAGTGCAGAACTGGGCATTTTTTTATTCAATTTTATTTTTATTTTCAGTTCCAAATTCTCTCCCTTCCTCCACTCCCAGTCCCCATTTACTGAAGGCAAGAAATGCAATACTTACACATATGAAGTCATGCAAAACATATTTCCCCAGTACCCATTTTCGGGGTGGGGGAACAAGAAAAAGAAAGAGAAAAAAAATATGCTTCTATCACCACTCTGAATCCATCAGTTCTCTACCTGGAGGTAGATAGCATTTTTCATCATCATGAGTTGTTCAGAATTATGTCATAGTCTCATTGATTAGACTTGCTAAGTGTTTCACAAGTGATTATCTTTACGTTATTACTGTTACTGTGTGAATTGAAGAACTGGGAATTTGAACCCAGGCTCTTCAATTCTGGTTCTCTGTGTGGACCATACTCCTTAGGGTTTCCTTTCTTCCTTCTTTCCTTTTTTCCTTCTTTCTTTTTCTTTCTAATTTCCTTCCCTTCTTTTTTCTTCCTTCCTTTTCTTCTTCCTTCTTTCTTTTTCTTTCTAATTTCCTTCCCTTCTTTTTTTCTTCCTTCCTTTTCTTCCTTCTTTCCTTTGTTCCTTCTTTCCTTTTCTTCTTCCTTCCTTCCTTTTCTTTCTCCTCTTGCCGTAAGATTATTTCCAATTTGGAGTATATTTTATAATAATGAACTTTCAGGCCAAGTCATTTGTACTACCTATTATTATTGCCTGGGTGATTTTTCCCCCCTCTGCTAGCTTTTTTTGTGGCTTTTTACATCAAGATGAGGCAATATGGAGATAGACCATCTCCTTTAAAAGCTTTTTAATGGTGGGCAGTGGGAACTAAGGCTTTCCAGTTTAGCTTTTCATCTCAAAGATATAAAAACAGAATCTCAGAGACAAAGATTGTGCATGCCACATTAAGATTCCTTATCTTGACTGGGTTGCACAGGGTCCCGTAAGTTTCCGTGTCTGCTTACAAATGAGTTGTTGTCCTGTAGCCATAGAAAATTACAACAGACTTTTTCCCCCCAGTCATGCTTTTGCTAATGACCAAGCATTTCCTTATTAAAAGTCAGCTGCTTAGCACTGCGCCTCAGCTTACTAATGTGTTGTATTTCATTGAGCCACCTACAGCAGACGAGGTGGGGAGTGCTACCTGGAGTGGCTAAGTCCTTTTGGCAAGATTGGGGGTTTCCTTCCTCAGTATAAATGTTCCCTACTCTTTCTAGTCAGTTTGTTAAAGAGGTTTCTGACTATGGTAGATCTCAGATGCCCCCAAGAGAGGTAGACTTTTTCTGTTTAAAAAAAAAAATCAAAAAAGGTCATTATCCCGCTGACTTCAGAGTTTGAGTAGCAGTGCCTGAAAAGTGCTAACCAGTTAACAACTTTTGACCCTTTGTTCCAAAAAGGAAAAACTTTTAATTAAATTCTAGAGGCACCGAGTTCCCAGCTTGGCTCTGACACAGCATTGAACTTTGAAGCCTGTGGTTACCTTTACAAGGGTACATCCAGACTGCTGCCACATTTTTTGAATCTCTGAGACCAAGATACTTGTAACAAAAACAGAAAAGAGCCTATGGCTACACTCACTGGCATGAGGGTAACCTGGGAGAATAACCCAGATTGCTCCAGGGGACTGGCTGTCATAGAGGTGCAACCTTGGTTCTTAGAAGACTTTTAGTTAATGAAAAAATCTCATCTCAGTCCCTAGTTCTGGTCCATTAACTTTTTTTTTTTAAAGGCTTGGTAGTTCTTTGCATATTCTCATCAGTCACAGTTAGGATCCATTTATGGTACATGATTATGAAGCCATAATACAGTTTTATTGTGTACTAAAAGGTAGGTGGTAATAAAAATACCTGTTTTCCTCCTAACTTCTCAGACACCAACTCAGGAAACCTGATGATTTAATCTAAGTATTTGAAACCCCAGAGGGAGATTTCCCCAAGAAAGCTCAGAGTAGGAGCTTTCTGGGATTGATGTTGTAATAACATCTAGAACCAGCCCCTTGTTACCAGCACTCAGAATTTTTCCTACACACACACACACACACACACACACACACACACACACAAGAATCTAGACTTCCTATACGACTGGTGGCTTCTCTATATTTTTGATGTTGCCAGTAATGTCTCAGTCTAATAGCTATTTGTACAGTGTCCATCTTTTCTATCTCATAAGTATCTTGTGTTTCCTCTGATGGTGTTTGGGGGGGCCCTCTAGTTGTAAGGAGAAGTAGGAAAGGAGCTGGACTGAAGCATTTTTGCCTTAACATGGTTGTTTCTGTTACTAAAACATCAGTTGCTATTCTCTACTTCTGTCTTTCAGCCGAATTGAGCCCCAGGATAGGGTTGAAGGTTGGAAAATGAGTGCTTTCAGATGTCTCAGCCTTAATTAGAGTACAAGGATTCCTTTCTGGCTCTTGAAATTCTGATTAAAGCATCCCTTTCCTGCAAAGGAAAAATAGTTTCAAATAAAAACTTATTTGTTGAGCGAGTATCTGTTGCAGATAGAACATATTATAATATGATTATATTGAGATCCAGTGGAAATCAAAGAGTCCCTTGTCCTCAGGAAGCCTACAATCTAATGGAGAAAATTTCCCTTCATGAGCTCATGGAAAAAGCCCAGTAGGAAATTCCGTTTCTCTCTCCATCTATTACTTTTGGGTTGGCGCCATTTTCCTCCCTTGGACAAGCAGAGGTCATTCTCTTGTACCTGTACCCCTTTCAGCCTTAGCATTTTAAGAGACACCTGTGATTTGGAAAATGGCAAAGTGATTGAGGATCACAAAAGACATTCTGTTTTGTCTTGTAGGACTTTATATTTTATGCACCTCGCCTCCGGATTAATAAGCGGATCCTTCAGCTTTGCATGGGGAACCATGAGCTGTATATGCGTCGTAGGAAGCCGGATACCATTGAGGTACAGCAGATGAAGGCCCAAGCACGGGAGGAGAAGCACCAGAAACAACTGGAGAGGTGAGCCAAGAGGAGAAGGGAGGTCAGGACCGAGGAAAGCAGTGCAGGACAACTTGTGTACAAAGATAGAATAAGATCTGTTAGTAGTCCTGGTGAATGAATGGAGCTAATGTGGATCATGGGATTGTGGATTTAAAACTTGGAGGGTGTCTCAAATCCAGCCCCCTCCTTTGACAGATAAGGAAACTGAGGCCCAGAGAGTTTGTGACTTGCTCAAGGTCACACAGGTGGCAAGGGGGAAGAATCCTCCAGCTCCAAGTCTCATACCCTTTCTTCAGTAGCACTCTGCCTTCCTAGAGAAGACTGTTCATCTACATAACATACTAGGCACCAAACCAGTTTCATCCTAACACTCCCTTCCCTCTTCCCCTGACCCCCACCCACATCACCTTTTGGCTCCCTTTTGTGTTCCGTCCTCCTCCGTTAGAGTGTAAGCTCCTTGAGGGCAGGGGCTGTTCTTTCTTTCTGCTTGTATTTGCATCCCCTGTGCTTAGCACTGCGCCCCAGTCCATAGTAAGCATTTAACAAGTGCTTCTTGCCGGACATATACAGAGCACAGGCAGGCCTGCTTACTGAACACGAGGAGTCACTGTCACTAAGGAGCTGTGTGATCTTGGGCAGTACCTTAGACTTTGGTTTCCTTGTGGGTAAAATGAGCCGGTTGGTCTTTTCCAGCTCTGATTTTCTCTGATTACTCTAACGTTGGGATGTTCATGTCTCTGGGACTGGAAACCCATTGGCAATCACCACAGTTCAAAAGAGCCACATGCCTGCCATATGCCCTATGGCATCTACTATAATTTAATATTCTCATCTAAAGGTGTAGGACTTGAGAGCCAAAGTCCTGACTGCCCTGGAAGCTGAATGTCCAAAGATAGAATATGAGAAAATGCAGAAAGATCTAAGGATCATTTTAATTACAGTCCATGATGAGGGTGGGCTTTATTGGTGAGCTTGGTTTTGAAATGAGTATGTTAGGGGCAGCTAGGCAGCACAGTGAATAGAGCTCCGGCCTTGAAGTCAGGAAGACCTGAGTTCAAATCTGGTCTCAGACACGCAACACATGACACTTACTAGCTGTGTGACCCTGGGCAAGTCACTTAACCCTGATTGCCTAGCAAAAAGCAAAAAGAATAAAAAATAAAAATAAAGAAAAATAATGAAATGAGTATGTTCTTCCACACTTGAGGGGGAAAGATATGAAGGGCTACAGGGCATGTGAAAAAGAGAATTCTCCCATAGGCTTCCACAATTTTTCAAGTGTCCATGGTTTTGTGGTTTTCTTTCTGAAGTTTGAAGTTTCTCTTTCTCTCTTCCATCTGTTCCTCTTGCCAACAGGCAGCAGTTGGAAACCGAAAAGAAGAGAAGAGAGACTGTCGAAAGAGAGAAGGAGCAAATGTTGCGAGAGAAGGAGGAGCTGATGCTGAGGCTTCAGGACTATGAACAGAAGACCAAGAAAGCAGAAAAGGGTAAGGAGGCTGATGGTATATGTACAGTTGAGCTGTCCTCATAGTGGTGGAGAGAGAGACAGGAGGAGGGAAGAGAGACAGACAGAACAATAAAGACAGAGGGACAGAAACAATGAGAGACAGGTGGAGGAGGAAAAGAGACAGAAGGAGAGACAGAAAGGAAGAGAAACAAAGGAGAGGGGAGAGATAAAGACAGAAAGATGGAAACAGAGGAAGAGACAAAGAAAGAAAAACGGGGAGAGAAGAAAGACAGAGAAAGAGGGAGAGGGAGAGAGACAACATCCCGGGTATGTCTTGTTTACCTGGTATCTCTTCAGTTATATTGGGAACTTCATTAGCACAAGGACTGTTTCTGCCTTTCTTTGTGTCCCCAGAGCTTAGCACAGCACTTAGCACATAGTGGATGCTTCATAAATGCTCCTTGACCTGTTGTTGTCTCGAAAGAGGCATCGTGTTATAAACTTGGGTCTTAGGGTCAAAAGACCTGAGCTGGAGCCAGCTGTCAATATAGGAAAAGTCACTTAACTTTTGAACCTTGGTTTTTCCTGTTGTAAAATGGGATAATTATACTTACACTGCCACACAGAAGAGATTCCAACTATGATTTTAGTCCCTTCTCACCAGGCTGCTGAACTTTGCTGAATACAACAACACACACTGAATACACAGGCAGAGAAATCCTCATTAAATCTTATTAGTTGTGTCTGAAGATGGGGTGTTATTTTCTAAGAATAGATGTTCTCCCTTCTTCAAAAAAAACCCACACACATTATATACAAATCTTTTATAAATCCCAGATAAATTTGGGTGTAATTGTTTGCATTACAAAAAGATTACAGCAAAGAATTTCACTGTAGGATTTATTGTGCATTTGGGTGCTTTGTCAAAAATTTGGTTCACACTTTTGTATGGCAAGGGTATATGTGCATAATCACACAGGCATATAGTTATGTATACAGGAGACGTGTTAAAAAACAACTATTGGATGCATATATACATATATACACACATATACATATACACATAGTGATGTATACAAGGTGTCTGTGTGTGTGTACACACACCCACCCACACATCATTGCCTTAAATGGCTACCAAACTAATTACAGACACTGACCTCACCCTTTTGTATATGGGCTAGGAAGTACCCCTGACCAAGCTGAGATTTCATCGGCTTATCGATTGAAGGCTGGAAAAGACCTTAAAGGCTATCAGGTCTAGCCCTCTCATTTTACAGATGAGTAAACTGAGGCCCAGGCATGAAACACCTTATCCCCACAGCTAGTGACTGTCAGAGTTGGGATTCAAACCTAGGTCTTCTGACTCCAAATGCAGCCCTTTGTCTATGGCCCCGTACAATTTTCTTGGATGATTTTTTGTTGGCTTTCTTTGGTTTAGTTTTGTTTTTAAAGCCTTTCAGTTGGTGTTGATGGGAAGAGAATAGGTATGTTCCTAAAATGTTTTCCTTGGAGAAATCAGTTAATGATAGCTGATGGCCCGGGAAAGGGAGGCTGAAGGGTCGCCTCTGTGCCGACTTTGGCTACTTAGGATCATGGGTTGGGTTTCTTGTTTGATTTTGTTTATCCATTCATTCATTCATTCATTATTTTTGTAGAGCTCTCCGATCAGATCCAGAAAGCCATGCAGCTGGAAGAGGAGAGGAGAAGAGCCCAGGAGGAGGCTGAGCGCCTTGAGGCTGACCGGGTGGCCGCTCTGAGAGCCAAGGAAGAGCTGGAGAGACAAACTGTGGATCAGATAAAGAGCCAGGAGCAGCTGGTAGGAATTACCTGAGTTTCAAGATGCTAAATTATAAAGGGCCTGCCACTTAGGATAAAAAAAAGTGACATCTGCCTATAATCGTTTTTATCTAGTGTTTGTAACATGATCCACTTTGAAATAAAGAGTCAGTGGGGTTGGGGGTGGTATGAGACAACCATCAGAGAGGGTGCCTCATCTTTGTAGAATAGGGTAGGGAGCCTGAGATCATCCCTGGCCTAGGGCAGTCAGAGGAAAGTGGAAAAGTGTTGGACCAGGAAACACAATCTCGAAGAGATGCCCTAGGGTGTCTGACTCACCTCTGTTAAGCCAAAGGGAGGAAGGAGGGAGGGTGGGTGGAAGATTTTGGTTACAATAGACACCATTCACCAAAATATGCAATCCTGGTTCAGAATGTTCATTCACCAGAGGACTCTATGGAAAGGATTCCAAGTATAATTTTGGTCCTTTCTCACCAGGCTACTGAACTTGCTGAGTATACGGCCAAGATTGCTCTCCTGGAAGAGGCCAGGCGGCGTAAAGAGGATGAGGTGGAAGAATGGCAGCTCAGGGTAAGGGGGGAGGGGTTTCCTTTCTTCCTCGTTGTTCTGCCCGCCTGCAGCACTCACTAGCAAGGTGAGGCAGCTGATTGGGGTTGTTTAAAGCCTTTTCTATGTCCTGTGTCTGGTGTTTGAATGGAGAACGGGGTCTGAGCAGAACGGCACTTTCCCATTCAAATGGTCTGGGACATTTCACAACCTCAGATGTTACTGTATTACCTAAGCAGAAATCCTTACTGGAATGTGAGTGACTAAATTGACTAGATTAGCAAAAGAATAAGGAACTCATTATTTGGTTTCCACCTACTTACCTTTGGGTCCTGCCAAGTCCCTTTTTAAGGTCTTACATGCTTTGCGCTATTCAACGATGATCAAAACTGGTTTTGACAAGGAATTTAATTTTGAATCCAGCTTTTCTCTCCTCAGGGGCACCTGACATAGTCTGCCTTCTTTCTCATATAGTGGAATCATAGAATTCCAGAGATGGGAGAGACCTCTGAGGCACTCTGATTTAATTCCATCTGGAGCTGGAGTGTGTCCCCCCTCCCCCATAATAATTCTAACAAATGGTATCCAGCTTCTGAATGAAGACCTCCAGAGATGAGTAACACCCCCACCCCACCCCTAGCCTCTCAAGGCAGCCTGTTCTTCTTTTGGACATCTCTAATTGTTAGGAAATTAATGGTCAAGGAAATTAAAGCAATTCCTAAATATTCTCTCTCTCTCTCTCTCTCTCTCTCTCTCTCTCTCTCTCTCTCTCT